GAAAAAAATATTGACAAAAGTAAAATCTCTTCAAGGGAACGTTAAACAATATCAGCAATTTTAGGAATCAACAGGACTTCCACAACCAGATAAAGGGCATCTGTAAAACATTCACAGCTAATATCACACCTAATGATGAAAGACTGAACACTTTTCCAAGGTCAGGAACAAAGTAAAGGTGTAAACTCTCACCACTTCTATTCAGCATTGTACTGAAGGTTCTGCCTGGGCAATTAGGCAAGAGATAAAATAGAAGGCAATCAAAAAAACTATTAGAATAAACACATTTAGCAAGGTTACAAGAAAGAAGGTCAATATATAAAAATCAATTGTATTTCTATACACTAACAATGAACCATCTGAAAATAAAACTAAGAAAACAATTTCATTTATGATAGGATTAAAAATAAAATACTTATTAATCAATTTAACAAAAGTACTATAAAACCTATGATCAGAAAACCATAAAACATTATTGGAAGAAATTAAAGACCTAAATGGATGTAAATACATCATATGTTCATAGATCAGAAGTCTTAAGATAGCAGTATTTCCAAAATTGACCTATAGATTCAAAACAATTATGGTCAAAATCCTGGCTAGCTTCCTTGCAGAAATTGGCATGCCAATCCTAAAACTTATATGGAAATGCAGGAACCCAGAATAATAAAAAAATGGTCTTGGAAAAGAATAACAAAGTTGGAGGACTCATATTTCCCAATGTCAAAACTTATTACAAAACTATAATCAAGACAGTGTGTTATTGGCATAAGGCTAGACACATAGATTAAGAGAATACAATTAAGACTCCAGAAATAAACTCAGACATTTATAGTCAATTTTTTTTTTTTGATAAGGGTGCCAAGAGAATTTCAATGATAAAAGAATAATCTTTGGAACAAATGGTTCTGGGACAACTGGATATCTGCATTGAAAAGAGTGAAGTTGGATCCCTTCCTTACACTACGCACAAAAGAACTCAAAACTGATCATACATCTAAATGTTAAGAACCAAAAATACCGAATTCTTAGAAGAAAATACTGGAGCAAATCTTTGTAATCTTAGGTTGGTGAAAACCTTCTTAGATATTACACAAAAGCACAAGTGACAAAAGAAAAAATATATCACTGGATTTCATCAAAATTAATTTTTTTGTGCTTCAGAGTATACAAAGAAAATTAAAAGACAAACCACAGAATTGGAGAAAACATTTAGCAATCTTATATCTGATAAAGGATATGTATTTAGAATATATAAAGGTCTTATACAATTCAGTAATAGAAAGACAATAACTGAATTTAAAAAAAAATAGAATCTAAACAGACATTTCTTTAAAGAAGACATAATAAGAGCTTCACCAAAAAAAAAAAAAAATTTCAATAGCATTATCCATTAGGGAAATTCAAATCAAAACCACAGTGAGATACCAGTTTACAATGGATGTGCCTACTATTTAAAAATATGAAAAATAACACTGTAGAGAAATTGGTACCCTTCTGCATGTCTAGTGGGAATGCAAAATGATGTAGCTGCCAGAAAACAGTATGGTGGTTTCTGAAAAAATTAAACACAGAATTAACATTTGATTTAGTGATTCTGCTTCTGTGTATGTGCACACACAAAAATTGAAAACAGAAACTTGAACAGACATTTGTGCACCCACGTTCATAGCAACATTACACACAATATTCAAAAGATGGAAATAGCTCAAATTTCCATCAACAGATGAGTGGATAACAAAATGAAGTATATCCATACAATGAAATATTATCCAGACATAAAAATAAATGAGGTATTGATACATGCTAAGCATGGCTGAATGCTAAGTGTCAGACATAAAAGACCATACTTACTGTATGATTTCCTTTTTATGAAATGACCAATATAGGCAAATAAATAGAGGCAGAAAGTAGACAAGTGGTTTCCAGGGGTGCAGGTAAGGGAGAATGAGCAATGGCTGTTATTGGGGAAGATATTTAGCTTTTTGAGGTGAGAAAAATGTTCTCAAATTGATTGTAGTGATGACTACACAACTTTGGTCACACATTAAAACCTATTGAATTGTACACTTTAAATGGACAAGGGATTTATTTTATGGTGTTTGAATTATATCTCAATAAAGCTGTTATAAAAATGACAGAGCCTGGATCTCTGAGAAAGGACTGAGTCCTCCACCCTGCCATACACACATGTGGTGCTTCAGGTTGATGAGGGGTGACTAGATAGGGAAAAATGCAATAGTTTCACAATGTGCAAGGAGAGAAAATGGGAGAGGTGCTTCCTTTTTCATATGGATTCGTGGTGGAGCGTTCTCCATGGAGTGTCTAGTGACAATGCAAGGGGACTACAGAGGAGGAGACGTGTTTAAGCATGAAGAACTCCTGAGAGGGAATTCACCCAGCCCCACATCCTGACTTACATGCACACATGGGAAGACTGAAAAAATCCCAAAGAGCAGAGGGACCAAAATAACATAAGGTCCACAAAGGTGCCAAGAAAATACACTAGGGAAAGCACATGCTCTTTAATATATGATGCTGGGAAAACTGCGTATCTATATACAGAAGATTGAAACTAGACCCCCATCTCTCACCCTATACAAAAATCAACTCGAAAATGGATTAAAGGCTTAAATGTAAGATCCCAAACTATATAAAATTACTAGAAGTCTTAGGCATAATCTAGGCAAAGATTTTATGGCTAAGACTTCAAAAGCACAGGCAACAAAAACAAAAATTAGACAAATGGGTCTATGTTAAATGAAAACGCTTCGACACAGCAAAATAAATAACCAACAGAATAAATAGACAACTTGTAGAACAGGAGAAAGTATTTGCAAACTATTCATCCAACAAGGGACTAATATCCAAAATATACAAGGAACTCAACTCAACAGTAATATACATTTATATATATATATATATATATATATATATATATATATGGTATGTATATGAATGATAAGAAAATGGAAAAAAGATCTGAATAGATATTTTTCAAAAGAAGACATACAAATGGTTAACAGGTATATGGAAATATGTTCAACATCACTAATCATCAGGAATAAGTAAATTAAAACCACAATAAGATATCATCTCACCCAAATTAGAATGGCTATAATAAAAAAGACAAAAAATAACAAATGCTGACAAGAGAACTCATACACTGTTGGTGGGAATTTAAACTAGTATAGCCACTATGGAAAATAGTATGGAGGTTCCTTAAAATACTAAAAATAGAACCATTTCCCTATGATTCAGCAATTCCACTACTGGGTATGTATCTAAAAGAAAGGAAATCAATATATATTGAAATATATATATATATATATATTTCAATATATATTGACATAAAGAGAGAATAAGAATCTCAGAATCTCACTTAGAATAGTGTAGATAGGAAATTCACATTTCGGACCAAGTAAGTTTATATTCTGCGAAACACTGGGGTGTTATCCAAAGAGCTAGCTGTGCTCCCATGTTTATTGCAGCTCTATTCACAATAGCCGAGATGTGGAATCAACCCAAGTGTCTATTACTGCTTGAATAGATGAAGAAAATGTGGTATGTGCACGACGGAATACTATTTGACTGTTAAAAAGAATGCAGTCCTGTCATATGCAGCAAAGTGGATGAGCCTGGAGGACACAACATTAAGCGAAATAAGTCAGGCACAGAAGGATAAATGCTGCATGTTCTCACTCATGTATGGGAACTAAAAAATTGAGCTCATGGAAGCAGAGAGGCAAGTCGTGGTTTTCAGAAGATGAGGAGGGTAAGAGGGAGGGGAAGATAGTGAGAGTTGGGTTAATAGATACAAAATTATAGCTAGATGGGAGGAATGAGTTCTGATGTTTTACAAGGTTAACTATAATTTACTGTACATTTTCAAAGAACTAGAAAAGAGGATTTTGAATGTTCATAACATAAAGAAATGATAAAAGTTTGAGGTGATGGATACGCTAATCACCATGATTTGGTCATTACACACTGTGTGCACACATCAAAATGTCACTCTGTATCTTATAAATATGAACAATTATTATGAGTCAACTAAAAATAAGAGACAAAAAAAAATAACCTAAGGAATGAAGGGTGTAGTAGTACTGAATAGGGTTTTGCAGACCTCAAGACTAGGGCATTGGATTTTAGGCACTAATGGTAGAACATGACCCAAAGCCCGGAGGAAAGAGTTTCCTGGTGGTTGACTCAGAGGCCACAGAAGGTGACAATTACAGACCAAAGGGAATGAGGGGTCTCAGGAAGAATCAATGAGAACTCGCTGTCCCCTACAGGAATAACCATGATGCTGTGCAAGTTACTCCTAAATTTAAACAGCATTCGGAAGAGGAGGAGAGAATAAGGATCTCAGAGATTAGAATAGTGTGGATAGGAAATGCACATTTCGGACAACTAAGTCTATATTCTGCGAAACACTGGGGTGTCACCCAAAGAATCTGAGTGCACCTGGAAGAGACTAGGTTTTGAAACCAGAGGGGTATTTTTGGTTTACCATGAATGCAGGGGATTAACTTTTCTCTTCCTGCCATTAAGTCAAAAGCATTGTTGCTAAGCCATTGAGTTCCGTTAGAGAGAATGGAGACATTACATTCTCTCATCACTGTGTCAGAGGAGTAAACTCTAGGCTCCCATCAAGGAAACAGAGTCCCCAAGGAACGGTCACGCGGTGGCATTCTTATGGCCAGTGAAGCATTCAGATTCAGGCTGAAGTTTAGAAAACAAGGATGCAATAGCTAAAGGCAATGGCTAGAAGTCAGCCTGGCTTGTGAGGGAATTGATAACTCGATAACTAGTAAGTTTTCTTCCGGAGCTAAGAGACTGATTCTCAAAGTCTTATATGTCCGATGGGAAAACGTCTGCCCCTTGTTGGCCAAGTTCAAATTGGTACTGTCTTCTAAGAGAGGGAACCCTCTCCTCTTTCCTTGGCCACATTTGGAAGCTGGGCTAAGTAAGGGTGGCCAGACATAAAGTGCAATTACCTGTGACGTGTCGGCTCTTGCTTTTGCAGCTACATCTTGCAATTAGGTCAGGGTCACTCACATCGCTGTGACAGAGGGAACAGTAAAAGGAGGCTCTGGGCAATGAAAGCAAACCAAGAATGACTTATGTGAGGCTTAATACCAAGGAGGCCCGGTGCCGACTCGAGTCTTCCTCCCACGAAGTTGTATTTGCTTTAGTGATTTCCCCCCAAAGAGTAATTTTTTTTAAAAAAATTACCTTTTGACTTCACTTGGAGATTCAGCAATAAAGAACCCTAATGAGTTCTTATGCAGCCTAACTTGTACAGGTGGATTTAGTAACAGACCACTGGAAAGAGAAAATAAAAAGTATGGTAATTTTTCCCTTTGATTTTTGGTGGCGATATTTGGTGCTTCATCCTGTCACTATTACCAGTGGATTCTCTAAGTTGCCGAGTGAATAGGATTCAGTCTTCTTTTACTGCCAAACATAGTGGAAAATGTGAATTGGGCTATATTTAATCCTTTGATTGCTGCTAATTATGCTGAGAAGAGCCAAGCAACGACTTGATTGCTGAACAGCACATACAGCCAAGCCTAGGGGAAGATCCTCCTTGGATTGTGTCATGAATCTGAGACGCTCCAACTAACTCAGAAAGCTAATTTACGCTATCCTACGACAAACAGGCCAAGATCACACTGTTGCCAAGCTCATGGTCATACCAGTGGTGCTAGTGCTTAGGCCACTTGCTATTAATATTTAAAATTAAATTACATTCTAATTAACCAGCTAACTTAAAATGTTCCTTTTATTTTACATACGAAGTTTTTGAGGTTGTACATTTCTTTGGACTTCATTTTTGTCTGCTGTGGTTGCAAGATTTTTGGGAACAGAAGCCATGTGAATTATTCTTAACATGGCTTGAACATTTGGATTCTCTACTCTCTTATGGTTTGTGTGTTTGAAAATGCTGTCTTATAAATTTCTATCCATGACATTACTTGATACAGTTTTCTGCTGTCACTCTAAGTTGCCCACATTTCCCCATTTGTCAGGATCTCCTGCCTTTATTTTCTTTATGTCAAACCCTCAGTGTGGTGGGGTCTTTTAACTCGATAACTCCCTTCACTTCTTTTGCGCATGATGAAAGTACTCCCTTCCTCCTTTAAAAATCATCCCTCCCTTTACATTCATATAGGAATGAGGTCAAGTCTTAATTCTGGCACAGCTTACTCTTTTGGTGGGACACTCCAAAGTTAACTTGCAGAATCCTTACAAAAACTAAATGTGTTTCCACAATAAAAGCTCTTCAGCTTTATGCTAAGAGTAGAACAAGACTAAATAGCTCTGTTCAGATAGGTTACTGCCAAAGACAATGGATGATATTTTCTGAGTGTTTACTGACTTATATTAATGAGTGGAATAATTGGTTTTAACTTGGACAGGAAAAAGAACATGAATGTGTGGCCCCCTAAATATTAATACTATTGGTTGATGTTCACTGACTAGCAGATACATGCTTAGTTGTGTCTTACATAGCTCCTTTTTTTTTTTTTTAAAGGAGTACGGTCCTCTGAACTCATGTTAAGTATCTAGCTATGAAAGACACAGTTGCAATAAAACATGTATCTGATTGTATTTGAGAGAGAAGGCTTCTTTTAAGGCTTTTCCCAAACTGACATTATTGCTTTTTCCTCTCTCCATGAATCATGGCCCATTGCTCTGTCAGAGAATGTTTGTCACTGGAACAAACTCATTACATTATCTGACTGAGGTCAGATCCAGCTTCTTTTCTTAGCAGGTGGCAAATTATTCCCTAAGACAAATCCCCTCGTGATTATCCAGGGCTTTTGCAAGTCTTAGAGTCTATTCAAGTGTATCAATTAGAAGAGGAAATAAAAGGTGAGAAAAGATAGATTTTCCCCCAGAATTTAAATACACTCGCCTAAAGCCCAGCCATTAATATGTCCAGTCTTGCTTATACCAATAGTGGCTACAGTAGATTTAGCCCGGAATGGTGATCAGAAGAACAGCGCCCGGTAACAAGACTGCCTGAGTTCAGATCCTGCCTCTGCCACTTGGGAATTGTGTGAAGCTGGGAAAATTGTTTGACTTTTCTGGGCCTCGCTTTTCCTCCTCTGTGAAATGGGACTAATAGCACCCAGTAAAATGGAACTAATAATTGTGCCCATCTCACAGCGCTGTTGCGAGGGTTCAAGAGTTAATGTACACACAGTGCCAATAGCAGTGTTGGTCATGAAGCAGCAATCATGTAAGAGATTGCTATGATCAATGTTTTTGATAAATTGGGATTTAATCCCATCGACTCACCTGACTTTTCAGTGAGAAGGCAAAGTTAAATCTGTGTTGGAGTGGGACTCTCTTTCAATGGCAGTAGGTGTGTACTGGTAAGTTACACTAGGACCTTTTGAATCTACGTGAAATTAGTTGCTTGGTAAATATTCATGTTTCTGGTCTGTGATGTTCTAACACTCATCTTAATAAAGTTTACAGAAAAGGATATTAGAGTTGGAAAAGATCTTAAGAGCATGTGGTTGTAGTTTCTAAGGGACAGTGAATAAACTGACTATATCATGAAGACTTTTAAAAACATTCTCAGGCCCCTCCATTGGAGATTTGGATTTTGAAAAGTCAGAAATGGGGTTTTGGAATCCATATGTCTTTAACATTTTGCAAAGAATTCTGATGTGTAGCCCAGGTTGTGGAAGTCCAAAATTGTTACTAAAACTTGAGCAGATTTGGGGCCAGTTTGAAACCCAAACTACCTGGCTTATGATTCTAAGGCTACCTTTTAACTCAGACCTGTGTCCAGTAGAAAGTCCATTTTTGCAGATGCTTACATGCAGAAGTTTAGATTTTGAGATTTTCTTGGGCATGGCAAGATTGTTAGATAGAACTTAGCCAGCCAAGGAATAATATCTGTTATTTTTCCTCAAAGATTTGCTTTTCACAGTACCCCACTGTTTTTTTCTACTCAGATGCCTTCTAGATTCTCTCAACTCAGATCTTTTATTCTTTCTAACCTTTCATATAAAATCATAAAATCATTCATTCATAGTCCATCTGACATAATTTAAAATTATTAAATTTTCAATGTTTCCCTATAATTATAGGATTCTTGGTAATGCCAATTATAGAACTGGAAGGGGTCTTATAAATGCATAAATTTGACTTCCTCATTCTACAAATAAACTCTTCTTCAAGGCCACAGGGCTAGCAAATCATAGGTTCAGCATCTAGTCTGTTGATTCCAAATTAGTGTGAGTTAATTTTCCAGTAAAAATCACACATGAGGCAACATAATAGCCTTTTTTGCCCCCTCCCATCCCATTTAAGCTCCACTTTTTCTTATTTTTCAGCATACTTTATCCGTATAATAGCTGATTCTCTTTCTTTTTTCCACTTTTCTCCCATTTATGTTTTGGTACATTCTGTTTGTCTTGGATTTTTTTTTTTTTTTTTTTGTATGACACGATGACTTCTCTTACTTTTCATATTACCCACTTACGGGTTCTCGGGAAATGCTAGTGTTCTAGTGATGTTACCTTTTGTTTACCTATCCTATCAACAGCAGAATTTGTCCAGTGGGTCAAAGTCCTATTTTTCCACATTTGGTAGCTTACATTCTAAGGCTAGAGGTCATGGGAACATGTTTTTCCCCCAAATAATTCTATTTCATAGTATTCTTTCATTGTCAAGACTTACAAGATCTGATAATACCATTAAGAGGAAAAGGTCTGAGATGGTGACCATTTCTTCTCTCCTCTGCTCCCAAGAGAGAACTGGGGTGGGGTCACACTAGGGTGAGCACTGTGACCCCAGCAGCGCAGGAGCCTGGGTGTCTGGAGGCTGGCTCTCAGCTAGTGGCAAAAAGCTTAGTTATGGCTGTACCTCTAAAAAAAGACTTAATCACAAAGATTCTAATAAAAAAAAACTAATACATGTTGTATTCATCTGAATGGAACTGGGGACCATTCTTCTAAGTGAAGTATCACAAGAATGGAAAAACAAACACCGCATGTACTAACTCATTAGTTCCATTAAATTGGAACGAATTGGTCAGCACTTACATGCACATGTGGAAATAACATTCGTCGGAAATGATGCAGGTGGGAGGGAGGGGGAGAGGATGGGTAAATTCACACCTAATGGGTAAATCGGACACTTTCTGGGGGATGGGCACATTTATAACTTTGACTCAAATGGCACAAAAGTAATTTACATAACCAAAACATTTGACCTCTGTAATATTCTGAAATTAAAAAAACAAAACAAAACAAAACAAAAAACTGCAGAGATAGGAAGCCTCATTGGTACCGGCAACCACCCTGAAAGAGGGACTTGTGTTCGATGGCTATCAGCATGATGTGCAGCTTCACAAAGCAGATCCTGGAAAGGAAGACAAGCAGTTGTAAGGAAAGAAAGAAAAGCAGGGTGCTAGTCAGCAAGAATATGACGGACACTTTGCACCCTGGGAGAAAACTAGCATCTTGGGAGAGGCAAGAACTCCCGCATACGGAACTTTCACTTCATAAGTGAATCCACCGGAAGTGGCTGGTGACCAGGGTGCCAGCTGTGACAGAGATGAAAGTGTCCCACACAGACTGCAAACTTCTAAGTTGCAGGGGCTCCGACTTATTCGTTCTCATAGCTCCCGTGTTTGTAACGGAGCCTGGACTGCAGTGAGCCCTCGATGAACGCTGTTACTTGAGGAATGAGGAAAGGATTTTTCTGAACTTACCTGGCAACTTCAGGAAAATTCATTCCAGCAAAGTCATCTGAGAGACGTTGAGTGAAAATTTTGTTCTTCATGCCATTCAAGAAAAGTCTTTTCCAGGGCTGTTTCGGAGAAATCTGGAATACACAGTTTATGCCACATGAAGCCCAATGACATGGGGTACAGGGTGCTATAATCCACAGTGTGAATTACACTGACCAGCTAACTAGTCTCCATTGCATTTAAGTAAAAAAAAAAAGGAGATTTATTATGGTGCCTAATGGAAGAATGTTGAAGTAAGAACTAAAATTCTAACATTATTTCAGCTATTTTCACTAAAGTGTTGAGGATGAGGTGAACACATCATGACCTAGTTTCATCCCAGATGGCATCCCAAGTTTTCTTACTGGAAATTAGGATTCTTCTCTATTGTCCACTCCCAATTTCATCAAAGTGGGCCATTTTTTGAGACAGAAAAAATAATATGGGAGGAATAATGTGGAATCCAAGTTGTCTCTCTCTGGATAGCGCTATTGAAGATTGCTTTCAAAACATTTTAGTTTTCTACTAACCATATACTGGAGACTATTCTCCTAAGTGAAGGGTCACAAGAATGGAAAAACAAACACTGCATGTACTAACTCATTAGTTCCATTAAATTGGAACTAATTGGCCAGCACTTGCTGGTTGGTCAGCACTGACCAATTGGTCTGCACTGAAAGAAAAAAACATCCATGGCTTCTGCCCAGTCCCTTCATAGGGTCAAAGAACTTGAAGAGCTATCCTGATCAACAGAAGTGACAATGTAGCAATCAAGGGCAACATCAGGTTTCTAGGGAAACCAGAGATGTGAAAGGAGAAGGATGTGTTTTTAAAAGGCTAAATTTTCTGCAGAGACACTCTGTCTGGCGGTGTTTCTCGTCCACCATCTTGATTTTATAGCAGCACAATTCATAATTGCGAGGCTGTGGAAACAGCCCAAGTGTCCATCAATCCAAGAATGGATTAATAAAATGTGGTATATGTATACCATGGAGTACTATTCAGCTCTAAGAAACAATGGTGACATAGCACATCTTATATTTTCCTGGTTAGAGCTGGAACCCATACTACTAAGTGAAGTATCCCAAGAATGGAAAAACAAGCACCAGATATATTCTCAGCAAACTGGTATTAACTGAACAGCACCTAAGTGGTCACATAGGTACTGCAGTAATAGGGTATTGGGCAGGGGGGAGGAGGGGCAGGTATATACACACATGATGAGTGAGAATGTGCACCATCTGGGGGATGGTCATGCTGGAGACTCAGACTTGTGGAGGGAGGGGGAAATGGGCATTTATTGAGACCTTAAAATCTGTACCCCAATAATATGCCGAATTAAAATAAAAAATAAAAGGCTAAATTCACATCAGGGAGGCTGTTGGAAACTCATTGCTGATGTGTAGTGTGAGTCTCCTCTCGTCCTGCCCCACCTGCTGCCGTGAGAATCGCCACCACCCAGCTCGCGATAGCAGGATGGGCTTCTCACAGCCCAGAATCTCAGATGAAAGAATGGAATTTCTAACCTCCTGGAGCACTGTTGGTGCAGGTTATGACTGGTTCAAGATGCCTCCGAGGGCCATGATGTGTTTGGGGGAAAAAACAAACAAAGACAAACACACAAACAAACAAATAATAAAACAAACAATAAAGGTTTTTTTTCTGCTTGCGAAAAAAGCGCACCTACTTCAGGCACAATCAGTTCCTCCCCACCAACAAGATTCAGCTGAATCTCTTGCCCTCCACTTGCTTAAATACCTTCGACAATGAAGGCTTCCCTCATGGGCAGTTCAACCTCTGTTTTTAAGTTCGATTACTAAAGAAATTGGCTTAGTGCTTCTAGTCACAAATCAATTTGAAGAGTAGAAAGGATAACCATAGATATGAAGAAGACTTCCTGAGTAGGGCTTAAAAAATCAGGAAGAAACCAGGAGTCCAAAGTGGACTTTGGATAGAAGAATCTGGGAAGCTCACAGAAGCCAGCTGGATGAGAGCTAATCTAAATTTAAGCTACGGCATGCTCTGAACCTAGAAACAACCAGAAATGCTTTTCAAGCTATGATTTTTCACAATACAATCAATATAATTAAAACCATGGCATTGGTTCAAGGAGTACTCAGAGTTTGCAAACAATAATATTTGGAAAATTCAGGTGATGAGATGAACAACTCTCATTTTACAAATGGGAAATGAGAGTCAGGAATAAGTGTCTAATACAAGAAAAATGAAACATACAATGAAGTCCACAGTTGTCACAGAACCTAAAACAGCAGAGCAGAGAGCACAGGGTTCACAAATCTTTCCCTGAGGCTGTTCAGTTTTAGGGTTCCTAAAAGTGGGCTTCCAACTTCATTAAAAACAAAACAAGATTATGGAGACCACAGATATATCTCAATTTCTATATTCCAAAAGCCATCTTGTGATGATAATGTCAGGTGACCATCCTCGTGAAATGCCACAGCTCTAAATTAAGAAAGCTGTAATAGGAATGACTTTATATCTCCACTTTGGATATATCCATGAAGGAGGCAATGTCTTCATATAGAGTTCTCATTCCATTCATTTTCTCCAGCATGGAGGTTAAATCATAGTCATCACAACAGATATCAAAGTTCTCTGCTGCTTTCTAGGCATTCGATGCAGGCAGAGCCAACTCCTCATGGGCCTTTCCCTAGGTCATCCTCCCTGTCCCTAGATGAAGGTAATAGCATTACCCTGCAGCAGCACCAAGTTCGTTCCCTACTGACTGCTGGGCATTCCCTCTTCACCTCTATGCTGTATCTCCTTGCTCTCCACAGTGGAATTGCAGAAGAATTCTCTTTGTCCCAGCTACCCTTTTGCTGACCAGAGAGCATTTTTTCACCTCTTTTGCTCTTCTATAGGGAAGAGATGGAACAGGTAAAGATTGAAACATTTCAATTGATCAGAAGAAATAAAGTGCAAAGAGCAGAAAGGAAGTCAAGTGTGTGAAGAGCGAACGTGGACTTGAACTCAATGGAGATGAAGTCTGTCCCAAAAGCAGACAAAGAATGGCAGCCCAGCCATGGGTTAGGACACTTTGGGGCATCATGGAAGGTATTTGGAGGCTACTTGCATAGAAATTGTCCCAGTACCCTTTTGCCCTATTTCTCAGACAAACGCATTGAAAAAACCGTGAATGTGCGGAGACTTGAGTAGACACCCACACAGAGCATAGGATGTAGTGAATAACTGGACCCCACAATTCTACTCTGCTGCTCACTAACATACTGACGATCAAGTTTAGGTTGGCTTCACCAACCCATGCTGCGGAACCACTGGAAATATCACTGAGGAGAAACACAACACCAATAGAGTACTCAATACCTGAGTAACCTATTGGTCACTAACGTAGAACATGCAACTTCCCTTAAAATAACCTGGAAAATTAGATTTAAAAATGTTATTTATATCATATTCAATAGAGAAAAATTTTATATGTCACATGTTATTTGGTGATTTAATAATAATATTACTTCATTAATAATGTTAACCTTATTTATATTTCTACTTTCGAGGGTAACCAAAACCCTTCTACCTTTATGAATATATTTATATTCCTAACATCCTTGAACTGAAGTAGGAAGTGGAGTCCATGATTCTGTTTAGGAGATAAATGGCTCTTAGGCAAGAACTTAAGATGAATGACAGCTTCAGGTCAATGCAGGAACCTGGTGGACTTAATCTAGATCTCTCAGTTCCTTCCCAGTCACACAGAAGTTAAATTCTATTCTTCAGGCCCTCTTGCTTTTCTCAATCTTTTTTTTCTTAATCCCCAATCAATATGTGAGATATGGGGAGAGAGCCAACGATTCAACCAAAGCACCTCGGTTTGGGCTGAACAAACAGAGACGTCGAAGGTGCACAAGCCTGGATACCAAACAGCCTTGGCGATGAATCAAGCTTTAATTCAGCCAAAGCAGTATGATGTTGTCTCCACTACTCCAGGTTCCAGGTGGGAATCTTTGGCAGGATAAACCTTGTTACGATGGTAGAAAGTAGGTAAGAATTAGGAATAAACATACCTCAGAAACCCTTTTGGCGTGGATACTTTCTTTCTTTCAATTTACTTGAAAACTATTATCATACTCTTTGGGCACAAAGTGGGTGCCCAGTCAATGTATGGGGATGGGGATAAGAACAAATGCAGTATTTGAAAACGGTTTTCAGTCAACTGCTCCAAATAAATAAAAAATAAATGGGTTAGAATCGCAAAGTCAGGCAAATGGTTAGGTTAATCGCCCCAATACCCCCCCCCCCCCCCCCCCCGCCCCTCTCTTAAGACTAAATCAATCTGATGAAGACTCAAATATTAAGAACAGCCAAAACTTTTTCATTATGATGTGAGAAGTATGTAATAAGTTCTCTAGTCTATGGACTATAAAGAGAAGGAGGTGAGTACGCGCAATGTTATTCACGGTACCTCTGTTGTGTGATTGCGTATCTAATGATGACTCTGTGTTAGAGTAGTAGCTCTTTAGAGAAGCAACCCTGCATAACCACAAACAGGCTACAGTGGCATGTCTTATGCAAATGCTCTGTAATATATTCAATTCAAGTCAAATTGATGTGCAGCAAATGTGAGAGACTGAACTATATATATTAAGTCCTCGTTACGCTGTCTTCTAAAACTGTTGTACTCAGCTATACATGTAAGATGTAAGTGACTTTAGTAAACCAAAATCGGGTATGGAAAGTGATCTCTCGGGATTAGAATACTGTCGTTTGTGGGACTAGTTCTTGAAGGAGTGAAAAAAACAGTCTCATATGCTTAGCCATAACCCATAACATAATATTGAGGAAAAAAAATAGAGATTATTGCTTGCCTGTAGCTTAAAGTACTCACAGACTTCATACAAACTTTCTCACTTCCAATTAAGATCTCATATACTGTATTAGGCATGGGCCAAGTTTCAGCTGTTCTTGCGACACATAGCGTCACATTCAGCTGCGTGTATTTATTTGGCTCTGATGGATCAGAAGTCCGTCTGGGTTATCATGATGCCATCGTCTTCACCATCATCAGCTGAATCTTTCTTACACACATCAAAGTTCCTTCTCATCGACAGTTCGCAGT